AGCACAAATGATGCCACCACCACCTTAATTGATAAAATAAATAAGGCAATGGATAATACTAAACCGTCACTCTGCGTTTTTTTGGATCTTACTAAGGCCTTTGATACTGTGAGCCATACACAATTGCTCCAATCTATCGAAGATACTGGGATACGCGGAGGCTCTCTAGACCTTATAAAAAACTACCTAACAAACAGAGAGCAGGTGGTAAAAATTAATGAACATTTTAGTGATACGAAAATAGTAAAATTCGGTGTACCACAAGGTACTGTACTTGGTCCACTTTTATTCTCAATATACTTAAACAATCTCTTTAAAATTGTGAGCTTTGCAGACGATACAGCTGTATTCTATGAGGCAAACAGCTGGACCGAATTGAAAGAAATAGCAGAAAATGATATAAAAAATATAATTAACTGGTTTAAACATAAACTGCTTACAGTAAATTATGAAAAAACTTATTTTGTTCCGTTTTGTAGCTACAAAAATTCACTTCCAACTTATAACGCATTACAAATAAACAATGTAACAAACAGTGAAGACATAAAAAAAAGGGAACAAATAAAATATCTTGGAGTAAGTATTGACTGTCACTTAAGATGGGATATCCATATAAATAATACGGTAAATACTCTGAGAGCATTTTTATATAAATTCAAATATTTAAAAAAATTTATAGATAGTACTCACTTGCGCAAAATTTATTTTAGTTTAGTAGAATCCCGAATAAGATATGGTATAATATCGTGGGGTGCAGCAGATATGACCTATCTAAAAAAACTGGAAATAATACAAAAAAAAAATAATTAAAGTTATTTACAATAAAAAAAATACTTACCGATCAAATCTATTGTTCCAAGAAACACAATTACTGGATGTTAGACATATCTTATTATATACCAAAAAAAATATAAATGTTTTAAAAGAGATACAACATAAATACATAACAAGAGCAAAAATTCAAACTAATGTACAAATTCATTTATCAAACAAATCTATTGGCCAGAGTTTTCAATTCACTACCTGATATATACAAAATTTATTTACGGACTATCAACTCAATACATTTGCTTAAAAAAATTATCAAAAATTATTTAATAACATCAGATAGAGAACTTTTGCATATGCTAATCGAACATAAATAATAAAAAACGGAATCACTTGTATTTCCATGTGTATATATGTTTTATGTATTAAAATTTTCCCATATATATATATATATATATATATATATATATATATATATATATATAATATTACTACTGTTTTGTGTTCCCTTTAATTTTAAATGTGTGTTAAATTAAACTAATTTTTATTATGTACTCAATTAATTTTTATCATAAAATTTTATTATATACTTATATATTCATATTACTTACTATCTATTTTATTTGTATAATGTTTATATGTTTTAATTGTTTAAATAAGCCAACCTCTTAGAGATCATCAATGGGTGTCTTTCTTACTTTATTCGTAATATTTCCAATTAATCTATATTGTTATGTGAGCTATTTCATTATTCAGTCATGATCTAATCCTCCAAGTCCCTCTCTGTCTTATTTGGCCTTTGAGGCTCAACTGGTCTGATTATCATACATAATTAAACCCCTTAAGACCAAATATATAGGACGACTATGGCAGAGGCACTTTCGCGAACATTCCTGAGTAATAATGTTTCTGGTATATTCCGGATATGAGATGTTTTGGTGGAGGAGCATTCTGGAATCATCAATTTGTATATAAATATTGGTGGAGGATCAACAAAAAGTCATTAGTAGATAGACAGTAGTGAAGATAAATAGTGAACAGTTTAAAAACAATCAAAATATATATAAATTAGAATAGTAGTGTTATAAAATAAATAGTGTTTAAATAAATTATTAATAAATAAACTGTTGTTTAAAATAAACAAACATCACAATATATAAACAAAGCATAAAGGCAGTAGTCTAGATAAAAACATCTTTACTGGTTACAATAATGTAAAAATTAATAATAGGTAGATATTTAAAAATTATAAAAAAAACCTTTTTAATCTTATATTTGTTATGCATGCTTAAATATCATCATAGAAAACCACTCTGTCTATCTGCAAATGCTCTTATTTCTTTATTTCAAAACAAGGAACTTTAATCTAAATAACATCTTTTTAATTAAAACCAACGATTAAGGATTTAAAAAAAAAGTCTGCAAATTATGTTTTTTATTTTTCTTATTCCGCAAATATTAATTTCTTAAAAGAGCCGTCGCCATGTAAAAAAATTTGAATTTTCAAGATGAAGGCGGAGAGAATATTGTTTGCTTTTACTAATGAATGCGAAATAAATTTAAAATTTTTATTTCTGATGAAGCGAACTCCAAATTGCTGCAAACGATATTGTGTAGAATTTTAATTTGTGTAAATTGAAACAGACTTTGGAATTATGAAGAGATGTGTAAGTATTTTATGAGTGGGAACTTGGTATTCATTAAAAACATCCAAAAAAAAATTACAAAGAATAATAATTGTAATTGAATGGCGATGTATGCTTTTATATAGCGTACGTTTGTGATTTCGTTCCAGTAAAATTTTGAGAATAATATTTATAAACTTAAACAAATTAAGGTGAGCAAACCATCTTAGTTATAACCGAGAATAACGATCAAGGAGAAGCGACAGCTTGGTGTTTTTAGTGTACCGTTTTGTAACGCGCATGTGCGAAAATAAGTTGTGTATCACTCAAAATGATGTTATCTGTCAAAGTCAGTCCAAGTTGTGTTTAGTACGTGAGCAATGTTAAGTGAAATTTTTGGTGTTTGTTTTGTGTAGTAATAAGATGAAGATTTTTACACACTTAGGTATTCTAATGCAGATATAAAATGTGCCAAAAAAGTTACTAAGAAACTAAGAATTTTATCACATGCATAAATATTAAGTATAATGATTTAATCATTTTTGACATTTTATTTTTCATATGTAGGTATTGTATTTTGTGAAATATATGTTTTCTTCTTTTAAATAAATTTAATTAACAATGAACTGGAGATTTTGTTTATTTTATTTTGAAATTATATTTAAAAAAATATAATAAATCCGCGTGTTTCAATTAGGATTGGTCAAAATGGACCAAATCCCTTTATTATGGCTAAATTGTAAGGTACAATTATGTCAATATAAAGATGTTTTGCCCATTCATATTTATATTTATTGAATGAATCATACTGTATTTGATTTTGGAAATATTGGTACATACTTTAATAAGTTATATTTCAAAAAATTCGTCTATGCCCAGACAGCACATATAGTCCAATGTACGTCCACTTTAGATCTATTTGAGGGTCAGGACGTCCATATCCAGACATCCAGTGTACGTCCGTTTATGATAATTAAATTGACAGCTGAATATTGATACCCAGAAAACGTCTGTTTTTGGACTTAATTTTAAGTTTAGTAGTATTTTGACGTCCATTGGACGTCCATCTTAGGTCATTATTTATTAAGCCTACCAGATAATACTCATCTATAATATATACTTCTTTTTTTAATATAACTGGTCATTAAAAATTGACAAATTGATTTTATTGCATTTCATTCTATCAGCGGAAGTTTGAAATCTTATTCAATTATAACTGTATCTAGTAAATAGTTTTCAAGTGGTTCCTTGGTCGAGCTCGTCTAGCGATTGAAAGGGTAAAACGATAATGGATGTATCGTGAGTTTGATGCCTGCTCAGGTCAAGCGATTTTTAACACAAAAAAAATAAATGGTGTATAGCGGTTTGCGAAAATAATAAACAAATTATTAATAATATAAAATAGTGTGTGGTAAGTTGCGGTTCTGTAAAAAAAGTGGGGATGTGGTCTCAATGGAAATATAATCCTGGACGTTTTTTGAATGTTCAGTATTCGACGTCCAAAATATTCCAGAATTGAACGTCCTCTGAATGGTCAAAAGTGTGCCATTTGTATACTTCACTGGACGTCTATTGGATGTCGGAAGTCCAGAAAAAAACTCATTCTTGGACGTCTAGACACCCAAAATTGTATATCGAATGGACGTCCAATGGACATATTTGTATTGTCTGGGTGATAGCTAGGCCAGGTATTTAACTCTAAATACATAAACCTTAAATGACATCTGTCTTAACTTGGCGAGAAAACACTTGTTTATACAGAAATGAGTGATAAACTTGAAATTCCTTTTAATATAATATAAATCCAGAAATTCTAAAAATATGTAAGTACTTTTTAAATCTAAAAGTTTTTGAAAATATAAGCACATTGCAAATATTTAGTTAAATATCTCAAACTTAATGTCTTTTTAATTGTTACCTAATTTTTTTTGGCACCCTTAATTTTATTTGCCTTATTTTTACTTAAAGAAAAGGTAATTTAATTTAAATATGGGGCTTTTATTACATTTTTAACAATAAATAAACCAAATATTGAACAAATTTTATAGATAAATTATAAAATCATAAACGTCTTTTACTTTTATAATAAATAATTAATTATTACATAATGAATTATATTTTGGTGCCGAAATTTCACCATTGCTATTAACCCTAACTACTTCAATGTAATTAAATCACATTACAACATTTGCGCATGGACTATAACAATTATTTCAGATAATTTGCCAAACTATTTCGCTCAGTGTAGAAAATAAGCATGTTTTCTCAGCGTGCTAAGTTGTGTATCAATCAAAGTCATGCTGTGAAAAAGGTACATCCGATATCAAAGGCACCGACAGCTACTGTCGCTTCTCCTTGATCGTTATTCTCGGGTTATAAGTTAAAAGCATATTTGTGCGTAATAATATTACGCTAAATCATATTTTCAACTTTAAATGCCGATAATTTTAATTGATCAATGGCCTTTTACAAAAACTTTTTTTGCACAATTCCTGCTATTGTTCAAACCTTCTCATTTAATTTTTCTATGGTTCCGCGTATACGCAATTTTGATACACCTACATGAATTGTGTTGTAGATATATCTAACAAACATTTTTTGTTACAGGAGAGAACTTTCCTATGCGTAGCAATAAGCTTAGAGCTAGCAACCAGTGCACTGTTCTACGCAGCACGTGTCCTATTCTTTCCTGGTCTTCATCCAGATCTAATATTAATAATTTACTGTATTAGAACCCAGATGTCACAAACTATGGCATTGTTGTTGATTTTTGTACCGAAATTTTGGTACCAGCAGAAACAAGTTAGAAATCTGGCTCAAGAGTACTCCTGTAGAATACCTGTAGATGCTTTTAAGGTAAGTCGTTTTTTATTAGTAGATTGATGTATGTATGGAACACTACCCTTATTTCTAATTGTTTTCACCAGACACAAACAACAAACAATTTTTATCGATTTGCATTCTTTCATTTTAAAAGCTTCTAAAAACACGCTCCAGTTTTACGCAATAAAAAAGTACACAATCTAATAATTCTCGCCGACTTTGAGTCGTAAAAGATACCTCTTTGTGACCAAATGCAATAACATTCCATATATTTTATCTTGTGTGCGTGTTACAACCCAAGCACTTAAGCTTCTTAATGATTCTATTGTGTCGTAAACCCACAAAATTGGGATTTGTTTGGAAGGGATCCTAATCTTGTAACTAATTTGTTTAAAAAACGAAACAGTTTGCTACCATCCTAATAAACGATTCTTGAGTACACACAATAATATATATCATGTTTTATCTACGAAAATTCCAAATAAAGAGAAAGTTGTGATTTAAAATGAAATAAAATACGGATTTTTAACTGAAGTTTTTCAGTGATTAATGATTTAAGAGCATACAGTAGCGCGTCATCACATTGCCTCGAATTTCCTAGATTAACATTTGAATAGCCCTTGGCAACGCTGTAACGTCAAAGAAGGGTCTATAGTCTATAGCAAGCGTCTATAGAAGGGTCAATCAAGTATAAATTATAATAAATAATTTTAGAAATAGAATTTCCATTTTCAGTAGGTGGTACAGATATTTTTTAAATTAAATAACACCGACAAGTACCTATAATCTTGATAATTAATTTTTCGATTGAAAATTAGGGTGTTTTTTCGATATTAAGTCAAAATAAGGTGAAAAAATAAATATTTCAAATCAAAAAAATTACAGTGTCTTTAGGACATAAAAAGGTAAGTTTTCACCAAATTTCGAGAAAAAAAATTTTTTTTGCATAAGATAATAAAAAACCTAAAACTTGATTATTTGAATTTTTCACATAAATTTTGAGATTATGTGAAAAAAGTGTAATCACAAAAGTTGTAGGTTGTAACAACCAGTTCTAGCCTAAAGGCCAACGCTCGTCACCAAATGTAACAACCAGTTAATCCTAAAGACCATTTGCAACTACTGTTAGGTCTTTAGCTACTGTTACTATACTATTAAGGGATAAAGGCAGCGCCTGTCACCAGCCAAAGGGTCCTGGAGTCCTTAAGGAACATCCATTCGCCAGTGGCAAAATAAAATAATAAAAGAAAATAATAAAATTACAAAAAAAACATCCCTTAATAGCATATGTCGAGCGGTTCTTGGCAACTAGTTTTAGACTCTTTTAGTCCTAAGGGAATAGAAACGCCGAGGCTTCTCAAATGCTCGGAGTATTTTGCTGGTTTGGGAAAGGAGGAGAGATTAATAATAAGTATTAAAACATTAACAAATGTATATTAACAATAAATAAAAAAACTTGACAAATAGTCTTCAGAAAAAATGAATAAAATTCCATTTAGAGAATAATGCACTATAACTAATAGTAATAAAGATAAGCATAAAATATCATTCGGGACGAAAATGTAAAATTGGCATTTATATGTAAATCAATTAATCAATTATTATTAAACAAAATTAAGTTAAAATATTTACCCATAATTCACATCGTACACAAAAAACTTTACACATTACTTTACAATAAAAAAACCAGGGTTTCGCCCGAGGGGCGAAAGTTCTGGACCTTAGTCCGAACCCGACTGAGCCTTTCCCCCAAGTGATCCTTTCTATATAAACCAAAATTTATGTGACTGTTGATTGTATTTTACAATGTCACGTTCAATGTAAATTAATAAAATGAAGGTTTGTTTCATTGTCATAAGTGTCTTTTTAATTATTTAATTTAAACATTAAATACTTGTTTAGAATTTTTGGTAAATTCTTTAGATTTTTTCAATTAATAATAATGCCAATTATTACAAGGTCTCTTTATTACCTACAACTTTGTCATTTCATTTTTTCCACAGGACTTGTAGTTTTGCCGGAAATCGAGATACACCGTTTTTTACCCTTAAAAACTCACCCCCCTCCATTTCCCGACCTCAGATCGCCCGTAAATTATTTTTCCTTTCATTTTTGTTATATTCTCGTCCTTTTTTAACGGGTTTCATCCTACTATTATTTTTTTTTGTTTCAAAAATCATCGACCCTGGTCTAATAGATTATAACAGCAAAATAAGGAAATGATTTGACCTAATTATTGTCGTAAAACTCAAGTAATTTTTTTCTTAGTACCTACAATAAGTTATTAATTAGTAATTGATGAACTAGTAATTATAATCTGATGGTAAGTAGGGTAGAATAATTATTGTTTATTTGCTAAAATGGTTTAGAGGGATTAACATATTTTAAATAAATTCAAGGACAATGTACTACAAAGTCAATGACAATAAGATTTTGTGTAATTTATTGTTTGGTGTAAAGATGGGTAGAAGTGGTTTGACTAAAGAAAAACATGTGCATTTGAGTAATGCAAGAAAAAGTCATCGAAATATAATGAAAAAGTAAGTGAGAGAGTCAAATAGTTAATATATTAGGGATGGACGTGAATCGAACCAGAATTTCTTATTTCGGATCGAATCAGGCATTTTCTTATACCAATTCATCCCTAAGTCAAATATACAAACAAAAATAATTTTGTAATATTATATTTTTACCATAGATATCATGAAAATGGGAGTTTTTCGGTAAAAAAAGTATCCTTTGACCGAAATACAAAATATCGAGGAAACGTTATTAAATTTTAACTTACAATACTAATACAATTATACTTCTCATAGTCACGTACAGGACATGTCAATATGGGAACCGTATGTAATAAGGCAAACTGCTACTTTTACCAATACGAACACTATAAAACTTCTCTATTAAAGTTTAGTTAGGACCAAGTTGGAATACGCTTCTCTAATTTGGTATGGAGAGTATCAATATTCAATGAAAGAAGTTGAAAAGGTCCAAAACAAACTACTTAGATATTTGTACTACAAAACACACCACGTTAGACCAGATTATAATATAATAAGGTCAACTCAGTTGAGAAGAGAGTTTAAAATTATATCGTTGGACAGCAGGCGTTGCCTAAACTTGATGATGTTTCTCTATAATACGCTTAATAATAATATAAATGCACCTGATATATTATCCTTAATACAATTTAACGTTCCACCACGTAGAATGCGATCATCAGCTATGTTTAATATTCCCTTTACTACAACCAGAGCTCCTCTCGTAGCCATGTTGAGACTAGCCAATCAGTTCAATGTGTGTATGGATTTGGACTGGACAGTGACTAAGAGAATTTTCCGTCGAATAATTCTAGATCACATAGTAAACATCTCTATATAGGAATAGTTATTTTATTAAAGTTGATTTATTAGAATTAATTTATTAAAATTAATTTATTAAAAGTCATTTATTAAAATTAATTTATTACAGTGTTTTAAAATTTGATCCCCTACAATTTTGTAAAACTTACATATATTTCAATGTTTTTTGTCTATTTTTGGTATTTTCTCTCATCAGTGAGAGCTTAATAATGATACATTTGTATTTTAAATTTTATTTTTATCCATGTAATTAAATCTTTTTGGTTAGTATGGAAAAAAGATCAATAAATAAATAAATAAATGGCTTCTGTGACTTATTTTTTATTATATGTTTTTTATGTATGTATATTTTTAAATTATATGTGTAAACTTATTGATTCATAATAATAAACATTCATTCATTTTTTCAAATCACCAAAACTGTCGTTATTGGGCTGCAGAGATGAGGGAACTTCATACTCAGCGCCCGCAGAAAACTAATGTGTGAGCCGGAATAATACGCGATAAAATTTTAGGACCATATTTCTTTGATGACACTAATAATGTAGCAAGATACTTGCATTTTTGCCAGCATAAATTAATGTCAGTTATTTGTCATTTATTTCCAAATTTCTTGAACCCCAACTTGACCAATGAGAGCCTATGGTTTCAGCAAGATGGGGCCCCGCCACACTACGCTGCTATTGTTCGTCAATATCTGGACAGATTGGAAGACGAGGTACTATTGAGTGGTCAGCAAGGTCTCCAGACCTTACACCGCTTGATTTCTTTTTATGACGACATCTCAAAAGTAAAGTCTACATTCAAAAACCCAACAACATAGCAGACCTACAGGATAGGATAAGAGAGGAAATCAATAAAATAACACCGGAAATGTTGCGTAACATAAGAGACGAAACATACCACCAACTGGGATGCTGCCAACAAGTCAATGATGCACATTTTGAGCACTTGTTACATTGAAAATAAAATAAATTTTTAAATTACGTTTTGAGTTTATGCAACCCCCAAACGCACTAGAAAGTAAAATTTGATAAGTACGCAGGATTCCTCGTTTCATCGGCTTTGTAATGAATGGTCACAAGCCACAGCGATTTGTTTGAAGAAAACATGTTGAGGGTGGTTTCAGCTACCCCCGCAGGGCTATATTTTTCAAATTGCTTGCAAAATGTAGGTAAATATATTAAAACGTTGACATGTCTCGGGAAATTTTTGAAAAATTGTTTACGTTCCCGCTAGCGAATTTATTTCAGTTAAGGTCTCCACCCTGTATATTAAAATTAGTTTAAAACATGCAGATAATTTTTGAGTATCGACCAAAACAGACCTAAATAAAATGTTTAAATTTCATTATATTTCTCTCAACATAAAGTAGGTGTGCATAAAAAAGATTCGTATATCAAACAACACAATTGTAAATATTGGAAAAATTGTGAAATCATATATTTTATGTTGAATAATGTAATTTAACTTTACAAATTATATTTGCCCTTTATATATTTCAGCATTACTCTAGTTCTACTCGTATAAAAATGCCTACAGTTTACAAATCACCAAATCACTATAGCACACAGAAAGTAAAATCAAGAACAACTTTGAGCATTTCCTTAAACATTCTCGCTAGATATTTTCAATATCTGAAACATTATTGGTAAATATAGCATCAAATTGCATTGACATATCAATAAAGGAATATCTACGGACACATACTTATTTTTCAAATGGAATATTTCCTGCAGGATATTGTGCACTTATTCACTTGAGATGGGATTTTTATTTGGCCGCATTCCATAACGATACCATATTCGTAATAATGATCACAAATTTCACAGGCCTGCGTTTAAATACTCTGTAAAATGTGAATTGAACTTCTCAACTGAAATTGGATATTTCAGTGACGCTGATTTCAAATCTGCTTTTAGTTTTATTCTATCACGTAAGGTTTTTAAACAAAATACTACAAGAATGCAAAAAGTAAAAATATCTTTATAGATACTTAGGATAAAAAAAATAATAAACCAAAAATCACTCGACCATTCACTGTTGGGTACTAATTAACAGTGCTGTTCCTAAAGTGGCGCTGGGAAACAGTAACAAAGCCTGCACAGAACACGAGGCTAATAACCGTAGCAGTTGATACCGATGACACAAAAAAAAATAAACTAAGAAAACAAACAATAAAACCGGGGAAGCAGGTAAAAATAACATACATTAATTCTTTGTTTTCTTGAAAAATCTTTCTCTTTTTCTGGAAAAGCTTCTTTTTGTTGTTTTTCGTGCATATTCTGCAGTAGGACGTCCCTTTTAAGCATCCAACAGTAGTCGGCCATCATTTTGATATCCCAGCGCCCTTGATATCGCCGTTCCATCTCTTGTATGTCCTGGTGAAAGCGCTCCCTTTGCTGTTCACTGACATCGCCAAGATAATCCGGAAAAAAGTCAAGATGAGCATGTAGAAAATGAATTTTTAAGCTCATGTTACAGCCTAATTTTCTAAATTTGTCCAACATGTTTTCAACAATACTTTCAAATTCAGGGTCTTTGTTGTTTCCTAGAAACTTATTTATAACTTGTTAAAAGCTGTCCATGCTTCTTTTTCGTCTTCCTTGCATAACCGTCTCAATTTCATTAGTTTTCATCAACCTTCTTATTTGTGGCCCAACAAAGATGCCTTCTTTTAATTTAACTTCAGAGAGACCCGGAAATGTTTCACACAAGTACTTAAAGCAACCACCATTTTTGTCTAGAACTTTGACAAATTCTTTCATCAGCCCCAATTTTATATGTAGAGGGGGTAAAATTTTTTCGAAATCAAATAGGCTTTCCCGAATTACTTTTTTGGAGCCAGGCGTTAAATTTTTTCTTGGTGGCCAGTTTTTTTTGGTCCAGTGGTCATCTGTTGCTCTACTGTCCCACTCACATAGGAAACATGGGTATTTCGTATATCCAGATTGTTGACCTAAAAGCAACCCTAAAATTTTAAGGTTACCACATAGAATCCAGTTATGTTGTCTGTAGTTTATTCTTAAAAGCAGTAACTCAAGATTTTCGTAATTTTCTTTTAGCTCAGTAGATTTAGGAACAGATGCATATAAATTGCCCTCATGAAGTAGAACAGCTTTAGGACTTCTCTTTGAAGAGTCTATAAAAAGTCTCCACTTGGCAGGATTGTATTCAGGAGCACCTAGGTGAATAACCAAATCAGATACATTTTGACAATATACAAGTGAATCAGCTGCGGCAAAGTAATTGACAAATTCAGCCTCACCATTTCTATACCAATAAAATGTAGTACCTGGAGCAAGTATTTTTTTTTCTTTAAGCCTTGATCTTAAAACCTCAGAGAGCTCTTTTGGAAGTCCCAAATCCCTGACTAAGTCATTCAGTTCTACTTGAGAAAATAGCGGCGGTTCACGGGTTCCTGAGGTAGATGGCTCAAAAATTTCAATTTCTGAATCTGTTGAAGATTCTGATTCGATAGACTGTAATACTTTAGGTGGAACAGGTACAGGTATATCAGCGTCCTGTGAAACTGGTCTTACTGCAGACAAAAGATTAGGATAGTTAATATACTTTAGAGATTTTGTGTTATGACCTTTAATATCACAAAGACAAAAATAGCAGTCGTTAATGTGATTTTTAAGGTTCTCTTCAGACCATTGGTATTCCAAACGGTAGGGGTTTTCTTGTTCCATTAAATCAATGCCTTAAGGCTTCTTCGCAAATCTTGCAGATAACATATGGCGCCCAAGGTTTATCTTGATCTACTAGTCTGACTTTAAAATATGCAAAATATGCATTTTTTACGAAATCAGTAATGTTTCTTTTAAACTTCTTTACTATAAAGTGTCCACAAATATAACAAAAGTCATTAGGCCTATTTTTATAACACTTCCTAGACATTTTTTTAATAGAAAGTGCACAACGAAACACCGGTAGAATTCGATAGACAACGCCTGTCTCAATACCACGAGGATATTAAATATATCGCCCTCTTTCCTGAATAAATCGAGTCTCGGGGAATCCCCAAACAATATTCTAGTAAGTACCGGTAAATCCCCCTACAAATGCGCCAACTAAAACGAGGTTTTAATGCGTCTCAACGTTTTGAACAAAAATAAGGAATTCAAATTAATTTGTTTGCGATGTTCAGGGATAATACCCTTGATACTAGTTTACAAAAAAAGTTTACGTGATAGAATAAAAAGGGGGTTATTTTAGCTATGTATAAGTTGTAAATAGGTGAAAAAAAATAAAATGGCTATGGCTATTTAATGTTCAGTTCATCTTTGGTGTATACTTGACAAATCGACTCCTTTATATATCGGGTATACAGGAACATACGTTATAAGAAGCCATGTCTTTCATTATGTTTTAAAATTTATTTAATTTTTTATATGAAAAATATTCGATACAATTCTTCATAAAATCACCCTGTATATAAAATTCGATATGTGAACGTGTCCCTTCGACAGTATACCTGATTTATCACCATAACGTTTTTTATTTTACAGTTAATAAGAACAAGTCTAGTTTTACATTTAAATTTCAGTAGATAGATCTGTATATGTAACGTGTGGATGGTGAGTTTACCCACGGCACTTCACTAGGCCCATTAAGCTGTAACGAGGGTGTCAAGGGTGGTGGATGGGGTAACCTGGATATAATAACTGTGTAATTAGAAAATTGACGACACTGTATTTAAATCTGCATATATCTCTACGTATAAAGTAATTGATAAAAAAAATAAAGAAACAAAAATTACTATTAAATTTAAATGAAAAATAAAGGATATGCTTTCAGTAGATACGGGAAAACCAAATTTTAATCTACAATAGTTTCTAATAATAAAATGACTTTTAAATTTATTTATTTATTTGTGAATAGCATTCGGTATGGTAGGATTTCTTAAAAGGGTAACACAAATCTCTACGATGAAAGGTCTTCCATGGTACTTCTTAGGTCCTCAAGACATTAACTTTTATTAAATCAGCTAAATCTTTTTTCTACAACAAGGTAATAATTATTAATCATTCTTCAAATAAAAAAAAGAATCATCTAAGTCTTCCTTCAAATAAACCCATTCATATGTTGCATCGCTAAAATAATTCGACCTTTTAATGGATAATAGAATAGGTAAGATGGATGAGACGAACGTTTTAAATAATAAAAAATAAAATATATTTATTTTACACTTTTACAGGAACTAATATATTCAAATCGTTCGACACACAAAACAAAATATTCTCAAAAATTAAAAATATAAATTCGTTAATCTTTGATAATCACTGTATGAAAAAAAAAAATACTATATTCAGTACTTACCATAATTAACCTAATGGTTTTTTCCAAGTAAAAAATAACCTCTTTCTTAGAGGATCATCTGGGTAATTTAAATTTGTCTCACAAAATTCAGGTAGCCAATGACACTCGAAATGAAATTTGATTGACAGACCCGAATGGTCATCCAAGGAAAGATGAGACAATAGAGTCTGAAAAATAACGGTATGAAAGACATATCGTTACTGCCTACAAATTCAGTAAATAGAAGAAACGTATTATATGTATATTAATCTGAAGTTGCATACATGTTAATGTTAAAACATTCTAAGCTTTTTCTATCTTTACACTATCTATTAATGGTAAAACTGGTACATCATTTGCTAACGACCTCTGGTGTATTTTAGAGCCATATCTTTTTTGCTTTTATAAGAGATTTGAAACATTTATAATAATTATTATGCTCCTCGATTATGACCAAACTGTGGCACTCAACTTCAAATGCCTTTTATTAATACAACGAACTTTTGTTTTCAGTAAATAAGAATATTTCCGGGATTAGACTTTCGTGGTTTTATGTAAAAAACGTACCCACAGGATTAAAAAAGAAAGACGTCTAAATCCTACTGAAATAATAATCTTTCTTTTCAGGATGTAAACGCACACGGGCCGCTGACAGGGAACAATAGCGATGTTGAAGTGGGCGAAGTAACTTTGGCCGATATGAGTCCCGACGACATAAGGGCCGAATTGAAAAGACTTTATCTCCAACTGGAAATTTTCAAGAGTAAAACCATATGCAGAGATAATCCCCACATATCAAAAAGACGCGGCGGCAGAAAGGCGCAGCATCGCAGGTTTAGTCTACAGGTAAATTATTTTTCAGTAATAATCTAGATTTTAAATGTTATAACATGGTTGTATTAAAAACATTTCATTTTATTACGCAATGAAAAAACTTCTTGTTAACAATAATAGTAGATGAAATAATGGGTTGCCCGAGATATTTTCTAATATAATCTCAAAAAACAATATGTCCATCGAGTTCTAGTGTTTGACAGTTGGAGGGATGTTAAAGAAGCTTCCTGAGATTCGAAAATAAAAAAGAGGAGCTATGGGAGTAACATAAGACCATTTAACACGAGAATTCGTCGAAGAAGAGACAGAAATATCATGCGCAATAGCATTGCCAAAAGGTCTTAAACTTATATCTCCATTACTACTTGGTCGATTTGAATGGGACAAACGGCGTCTCTAGGTGCCATTTACGATAAGAAAAGTATAGCGACTTAGATAAAATGATCTGAGCTCATAATCCTATTTATGATTTGTTCGATGCAAATGGGGCAAATGTCATTCAGCGTGAACTGTCATTTAATTGTCATTTATGATAAAAACATGCGCTGTATCATAGCCTAAGGGGCATAAGCCCCTAAACCTCTAAACCTTTCAGTGAGTGGATCAGGCGTTTAAAAAAAAATCGTTGGTTCACAATGTTTCTTTAAATTTCACGGTCAGCTCTCTATATTATCGTGAGAGTTTTTAATACCGCAGATTTTGTGTGAGATAAGTACCTCAAAATGCTGTTTGACTATCACAACATACATCAATGCACCCTTTATCCAGTGCTACCAAAATATTTTTTAACACAAGGACGGAGATATGGGTCGCTCACAATACATTATCATGACAGGTTATGCATATATGAGTGGTGTAAAAATTACTGTTCAGCAGAGAGTTTTCTATAAAAGTTTGTTCTTGATTTATCAGTATCGTCACTCTCATCAAAGTCTGCAGTTTGTAGAGTAAACTATCATGTTTGAAGCCTTGGTTTCTTTGAACACTTCGTCGCGGTGAGCGGACAGTCCGTCAACCGTCGCGTTTTGACGATTTTATCCAACCAGAGTATTTAAATGGGAATGGTTTTCTTGAATCCACTTAGGTGAGCAGGACGGCGTCATGCCGCTGATTTGTCGCGAAGAGTCGGTTGATATCTGTTGAGTTTGATATCAGCGGAATCGTCGGCGTGTGCGGAGATCATATTGTTATTAATTTTAAAACAATGGGTGACAAATTCACACATACAAATGACATCATGACTTTATTTTTAGATTTCTTGAAATTATGTCCTTTATAAAACTCAACACGAATTCAGAAAGATCTGTAGAAAGTCTAAAATACTCCCTAAATTTGGTTTCATTTCCAAACAACCTCAGCTGCACAATGATATTAAAGGCACCTTCTATATCGCGACACAAAAACAACTCATCCACTGGCTTATTGGAAACTTTGACGGTTGCAATTGCCAGTTCCTCTTGTTCTTCCTCTTCCAACAATAATAACAACGCAAACAATTTATTTGCATCCATTTTAGTACCTTTCGTTTACATTCATAATACATAAACAGCACGTACAGACCTAGAGAAATTATCATTTTCTATATTTTTTAACAAACCACCTCGGGCGAAAATTGCTGTCCTCAGCGGTCGACGGACTGTCCGCTCACCGCGACGGAGTGTTCAAAGAAACCAAGGCTTATGAGTGCCCAACACGCACTTGTTCTGCGTCAATACTTATGCGGAACACCCTATATAACGATTTCTGCATTGGGTTAGAATGCAATATTATTATTTAAAAATGGTTTTTTTATTGTAATATACAAATATATAGGTTTTTAGGAACTATAGAAATATTCAATATATATTTTTGTTTCATGCAGAAAAAAGGAAGTAGGGAAAAGGTAAGCACTCACTGCAATAATGTCATATTGTGCAACAAGTGCAGAAACTAACCAATTTTACACGATGTGTCAAACGTGTGGCACGAGTGAATGCGAGTACCACAATCACACGAGTGTGACATAGGTTTTCTGCACGAGTGGCACACTAATTTAAATTTTATGTTTAGGAGTAAGGGTAGCCATATGGGAGTGGGATTGAGTACGAAGGTTGTAAAGAAGAGTCCTTTCTATCTGAGATAGAAAGGACTTTTCTTTACAAACTTTCTGTGTTCAAATATAAAACAAAATGCTAAAAAAACAAAATAAAGTTTTGTGGGAAATCTATTCAGCTGCATAGAGCACAACGCATACATAAATACCATAAATCGCTATCCCTGCTGAATTCTCCACATATTGGACAAATTTCATTTGTTTTTCTGATTTCCTTAATAAATTCGACTCCACATTGGGTGGATTAATCCAATTCGCGTAATACTCTACAGTGTCACTCCGTTTTTCCCTATCCTGTACTTTTTCTTGACAATTTCACTTCTGCACTGGGTATATTTTCTAATCTTATGAGCGATGTGGTTCAAACCAACGAGAGCTTTAAAATCAGAAGCGTTAGAGTTAGAAGCTTCAGAGATGGAATCTTCAGAGATGGTGAAGTGATTAGAGAGATCTCAAGTATATTAAAAGCCTGTAGGGTGTACAAATGAGAGAAACTTAAAGGAAAACTTCAAAACTTCAAACTTCTTAACCATAAGAGTGAGTGGAATAACAAAATATAGTTGGTAGACTCAATTAAACGAGAAGTAGAATTTGTGATGATGTTGGATTGTCACCTTAAATATATTCAATCTTTTATGTAATAAATCTATGTTAAAAAAAAGAGTAAATAAAGAAATAGTTGGAAGGTACCAAATATTTAATTTATTAACTAGGTACATATCACTCACCTTAAACTAGAATACTTTACTTTAGGTAGCATTACTCAAATAGTTGATAGCATCTCTACTGCAATAACAGGAAATTTTTGTAAATATAATATATATATATATATATATATATATATATATATATATATATATATATATATATATCCTCAATTTTCAAATTTTCGGTTGCTGTCATTGAGTAAATTGAGAATAATTGTAAAGTCGCTGGACAATAAATGTACTACTTATGAATTCCTTAATTCCAAAATGTTGAAAGAAGTATTTGCAACGTGTGGTCATGTTATCTTAAATCTAATTATTACTTCTCTTCAGACTGCAACAGTACCAGATTCACTAAAAATAAGTACAATAGTTCCAATACAAATTGAGTGTCCCAGCTTGGTTCCAGAATATAATACCCACATGGGAGGGGTGGATGCCATGGACAGCTTTATTGGAAGATAAAAAATTAGGCTAATATCAAAAAAATGGTACATAAGACTTTTTTACCACCTAATTGACATGACGCTTGTCAACACATGGCTGCTTTATAGACGGGCACAGAACGACACAGAGAAGTTGATGTCTCAGGTTCATGTTCGTCTTGAAATAGCAGAGTGCCTTTGTAAGGCTGACAATAGCAGTAGAAAGCGAGGCAGGTCTTTTAAGGAATCAGTTGAATCAATGCTGACAGAAAAGAGAAAAAAATCTACAGTCTTCTCTCATGTACCACCCAAAGACGTTCGAACAGATTCGGTGGATCATTAGCCAATATACGAGCAAACAAGACAGAGATGTAAATATCCCTCGTGTTCTTCATTTTCTCATGTTAGATGCTCTAAATGCGGAGTACATCTATATTTAAATAAAAACAACAATTGCTTTGTCTCATTTCATAATCAGTAAAATGTTTAATAATTTAATGCTTAATGTGTCAGATTTGATACAACTATATTTTTGTCAAAATAATTTTTTTCCCCACATCCTGGAAGAGAAACAAGCCTAAAAAACATTTTTTTGTTTAATTTTAAAAAATTAAGCAGGGTAGGGTTAATTTAATAAAAATGTACGTGTGGTATTAATTTAGAGTTGCTTTACTCCTATGAGTAACATTTCCACATTTGTGAAGATGGATAATCTTTTGATTAATTTAATTAACACAAACGTACTATCTATTTATTTCCAAACAAATTTTCCCATCAGATAAGCTTCGCATTTACCCAATTCCTCAAGCGAATTACTATCGAGGAGTGACCATGCAAAATTCCTTCGTAACATTGCAGATTATCTAAAGACAGAACCCGTATTTAACACATATTTTCATCGTAACTCGTGACATTGTCGGAGTTACATAAATGGTACTCTTCAGTAATATCAGAAGAGTCCCAAAGTGGTGCCTCGAGGCGTCGCATTTTCAAACGTGTTCACCGTGAAGATCGAATGCAAGATTACAGCAGTCAGTGTTACAGTAGCGAACCTGATCGTTAGTTCAGGGACTATGTGGGTCAGATTGTGCTAGATAATATGCCGGTATGATCAGATACAGGGTGCTTCAAAAGTTGTCTTTAATTTTAATACTTATTTATTTTGATAGAAATAAACTAGTTTTGACACAAAAATGTAAGAATAAAAAAATATAACTTTTTTTGTCTTCTAGAAAATTGGAAGTAAGTGCTAATTCCTAGATGAATCAGTCACATGTCTATGATTCTCTAGGTAGAGGAAGGTCGCCTATTGTGGGCACCATTTTAATTATTACTAAAATTTAATGTTTCATATAAATCAAAAAACTTGAAAACGTTGTTAGGACTAACTTATATACACAAAATATACACTAACACTCCTACTTTTAGCCTATTTATAACAAATATATTACCATGTATTAAAAAAATATCGTTTTATTAAGCATCAGATAAAACTTATGTCAATACTTCAAGCAAATAATCGAAAAGACAAAACAATTAATTAGCGCATGGCTTTAATATTAAGTAGAATTCGATACCAGCTTGGAAGGTGTACTTTGGCTATTGAAACATAGATGTCTCTGTTTTAGTTGCACGAATATATGCATACCCCATATTAGGAATATACTCCATAATAGGCGACTTTCCTCTACACTAATTACATAAATATCCTCTAATTCATCAGTTCAAGAGTGCAAATAAAAATCAGGCAATTTCTTAATTTAAAAAATGCTACTATAATAACAATATTTAGAATGGGGCAATAAGAATTATTTGATAAGGCTTCTAAAAATCATGAGCTAGAAATTTTATTTACAGAAAAAATTTATACCAAGTGTTAACCGTTAAAATTAGTCTCGTAAACTAATAATTACTTTTATTTTGAAAGAATCTTAAGTACTTATCAAGGATAATACCAAAATAGTGGAGAATTTTTTTAGTTTATATTTCTTTGAAAATTATGTGTTTAACTTTTATGAAAAATAGTCTTCTTAAAATACCACGAGACATCAGCTGAGTAATATTTCGTCTTTCTCCATTCAGAGCGAAACCGGCTAAAGAGAAAAAGTGAAGTTCAACTAATATAATTACGACAGATTACTGAATAGTTAACCTAATGAAAACCAATTTTTGTTGCTTTTTCAGATTACGATTGAAAATTGTTTATCTTTGATATAGTAAATACAAATCGCCCATTAGATTTTTAAAATTCAGTCTACAATCAAATAATATAGAAATAAAAATATATATATATAAAATTACAACGTAATCTCAAAATTTTTATATAATGAAATTTTTGTACGTTTAAATAGCGATATTTAAATATTTTTCTCATGTGTTAATTATTATTTTTTTTAATTTGTTTTAGAATCTACATGGGAAGCATAAAGACAGAGATCGATACAAACATCAGCAAGAAGAAGTTACAGAAGCAGAAGCTTCTAGAACTCCAGAGGATTCTGTATGTAGTAATGAAGGCCCAAGTGCAATATATGCGGATTTACCCTCAATAACCCAAAGTGATAACAAATAATGTTCTAAAAAAATATACTATTATCCCTCTATCCCCTGCCAAATTATCCATTCTCATTTTTTTTAAATGCATTAAAAAATATTTGTAAAATTGAAAATAGAAATATTACATGAATTTAAATTAAGAACAATTATTTATTTATCGTTCTATTTTAAATTATTATGTTCTTTTCGTAAACTAGGTACACAATACCTAATTAATTAATTGAAACTTAAAAGTTTCTTGAAATATTTTGAAGATAATTGATGAATAAATCTACTGCACTGTTAATGCATGTGGAATTTGTAAAATTATAAGTGAAAATTAAAAGTACCAATAAAACAAGAATTTATTTGACTAAGAAGCAAATTGTTTTAAAAGAGTAGGAGTAGTTGAATTAAAAAAGAAAGCAAGCTTTATGTGATAAATACTGCAGAAAAAGGCAGTTTTTTGTGCAGAATTAAGTATGTGTAAATAGATGTCACAAACAAATGGTTATTTTATTTAAATAGCTTTATCCTAATTATTTACTAATAAAAAATGAACAAAATATTGGTCTATATATATTTACTTTATTTTCTATACAGAGTATAGATAGTTCCAATACAGTTAAATAGGAAAAGGACATTTTATAAAACTACATTACTGATGTTTTGAAGATAAAGCTATCGGGTGCGGTATTCAAGATATTTAAGGAAATCTGACGGATCGATTGTCTTTCTTATCTGTGATGTCTTTATTATTAAAAACATTAAAAGTATAATGTGTATATGTTCCTGTAAGTACATTGAATAACATTTTTTGATATTTGATATTAGATATTATGATATTTTAAGCTTTAGACCATGCACAACTTTTTTGAAAATTATTTTCACTGATGCATATCTACATAAAGTATTTCATCCAGGGAAGTTAGAAAAAATAGCGGAAATTTTTAGGGACAGCAGATATCGAGATGCGGTTTTCTGCACTGTGTTTAAAAAGATCACAGGAAAAAAGTCTATATCGTCTGGTTTAGCCATTTTTTGAAAAATGCCGTTTGGGCCGGAAAATGCATTTTCCAATTGCATCATTACTTGCACCATTATAGGAACGACTGGAAACTCGGAAAATCGCTTGGAAATCGACAGACTGGGGTTTTCGGGGCTTCCGAACTCGATTCTGGCATTAGAATTACCCGGGTGTGAACGGGGGTGGCTCTGTGGGGGTGCGCGGTGGGCTAATTGGGAAGAAATGGCAGCGTGCATGAAAATCGCTCCAAACTCGTTACTCTGGAGTTTTCGAGGATGCCGAATTCAATTCTGGCATTGGAATTACTCGGGGGCGGCTTTGCGGGGGTACCCAAGAGGTCATTCTGGGGGGAAATTGCATAGTCCATGGGAAGCACTCCAAACTCATTACTCGGGGATTTTTGGGGATGCCAAATTTAATTCTAGCATTAGATTTCCCCGGGGGCGCTCGGGAGTTGTTCTGTGGGGTTGTCTGGGGCTGATTGGGGGAGGAAATTGGCAGCGTTCATGAAAATCACTCCAAAATCGATACTCTGAGGTTTTCGGGGATGCTGAATTCAATTCGGGCATTACACTTCCCCGGGGGCGCTCAGAGGTCCTTCTGGGGGTGATTTGGGGGGGGGGGAATGGCAGCGTCCATGAAAATCACTCCAAAATCGTTACTCGGGGGGTTTTCGGGGATTCCGAATTCAATTATGGCATTAGACTTCCTCGGGAGCACTCGGGGGTGGCTCTGTGGGAAATGGTAAAGGATAAAGTGAAAAATCATAAATTATGAAAAAAATAACTTTATTCAAATAACATATAGGAGTTTTTAATAATGTTGAATTATTCATTATATACTTAAATTTTTAACTTAAATATTAAACATCTTATTCAAACTCTTTTTCTTCTTATTCTTCTTCGCCTTCTTCATCTTCTTCCCCTTCATCTTCTTCCCCTTTTTTATCTTCATCTTCCCCTTCTTCATCTTCTTCCTCAGCATCCTCGAAAACCCCCGAGTAACGATTTTAGAGCGATTTTCATATACGCTGGCATTTCCTCCTAATCACCTACAGACAACCCCACAGAGGGACCCCCGAGCGTCCCCGGGGAAGTCTAATGTCAGAATTGAATTCGGCATCCCCAAAAACCCCAAGTATCGATTTTGGAGTGATTTTTATGGACGCTGCCATCCCCCCCCCCCCCCATTCACCCCCAGGCAACCCCACAGAGCCGCCCCCGATCACCCCAGGCGAAGTCTAATGCCAGAATTAAATTCGGCATCCCCGAAAACCCCCGAGTAATGAGTTTGGAGCGCTTCCCATGGACTATGCAATTTCCCCCTCAGAATGACCATCCGGATACCCCCGCAGGACCGCCCCCAAGTGCCCCCGGGTAATTCCAATGCCAGAATTGAATTTGGCATCCCCTAAAACTCTCGATTAAAGAGTTTGAAGTGATTTTCATGCACGCTGCCATTTCTTTCCAATTCACCCCCTCCGCACCCCCCCCCACTGAGCCATCCCCGTGCACCCCCGGATAATTCTAATGCCAGAATCGAGTTTGACAGCCCCGAAAACTCCCCCGAGTAACGATTTCCGAGCGATTTTTCCGAGTTTCCAGTCGTTCCTATAATGGTGAAAGTAATGATGCAATTGGAAAATCCTACCAAGGCATCAGAATTAATTTTAAATAATTATAATAAATAAAAAAAATCCTGGTCAACGGTGGGATTCGAACCTGGAACCCTTGGATCCGCAGGCAGAGACTCTACCACACTCTATTGGTTTGAAAAGTCATGAACATTGAACAAATATAATGACAGCTGTCGTCTATAATAAACGTCATTCGTTGAAATATTTGGAATAGGCAGATTTTTGGAGTAATCAATACAAATGGCTTCTACGTTGTCGTAAAGCATGGCTTATCTTTTAAAAGCACGTTTTCTATCGTTAAATGCATTAGCTCCTGATAGATATACTTTCTTTTCTGTCTCAAGCTTTTCTATTTCTGTTAAGAGTTTTGGTTTTTCATATTCTTGTGCTTTAGCTTCTGTAGACTCCAAGGTTTCCAGGACAACAGCAGTTTCGTCACATTTGGAGCAGGTGTCCGATCTTGGATAGCCAAAACCAATATTGAATTTGTCATTGAAAATTTCTCTGTACCTGTTATACGATATTTTCACCTGCGGAAACTTAATCTTGAATAAATCGTACATTTTTGTCACGTTTAGTTTTTCGGAAAGGTATGTTCTAAAAGACTTTTCCAAACTATAATGGCTTGATATATCACGGAATGATGAAATGTGTTGACAAACTTTATTGACTGTTTCATTTGTGAGCTTGTGTGGTTTATTTTTGTGCCTGTCTCTGCCATATTTCTTGGCACTTCCGAATTCTTTCACACTTGTTTGTATACTTTGTATTCTACGTGGCGTTATTCCATGCTGAGATAAAAAAGCTTCATAACATACTTGCGTATTCACGATATTCTCGTTCTCATCCTCTACGTTGGATCGCACTCTATAGGCATATGAAGCATCGTTAAATCTTGAAACTTTACTCTCTGCACATCTAGGCCTTCGCCTGTTCACAGACATAACAGTTATAAGGCCAGCAAGGTAAGAATTCTGTTCATCCAAGGTCTCCAGTTGATTGAAATATCCAAGTATTTTCCTTCTTTCTGTTTTCCTGATTTTCGAGAAGCACTTAAATCGTTTACATTGACAATCTACACCAATTTCATGGCTTTGAACTATAAGTTTCTTTGCAACGTCCGTTATTCTCCCGAAGCTTTTACGTTTTCTTGTTTTTCCCTCCATGTTGCACCAATATGACGAAAAATACTTAGTAAACGTATGAAAACGTTTTAATTCACGGATGATTGCAAACTGCGTCGGAGGCCGAAGAGCATCGTAATAATTTCAACCGATGCTCTTCGAAGGAACTGGACTATCATCGTTCTTTCCCGTTACACGCGGATTTTCATCGTTTTTTGCGAGTGCATAGACACTTTAAACGCCGATTCTCTTCGAGTGCTATCATTATTCCCGTTTCTGATAGTGGCAAATGATAGAGCTGCCCGAGATGTATAAATAATTCGTATAATTCTCATTTTGAGATAAAATGGACCTTCATCGTTTTTCCCGTGTGGTTCTTCATTTTTAAACAGAGAATCTTCAGTTGTTCTGTTCCATTTTTAACAGAACACCATGTATAATAGGTCCCTACGTAATGATACCAAGACCTTTTTGCTGTCCTTTGACTGGAACTAACGATGAACAAATAAATAAATATACCAGCATCCAGAATCTAGATCTAAAAAATATTATTTACTTGCTATCTGCAAAATATTTTGCAAGGTCAAGAATCTCGTTTGCCTATCGCGGTGAGGCTCGAGGTGCTGAACTTATTTTAGCACAGTTACCGTTTAACTGCACAGTGTTGCCATGTTGATAAGATATCTAAGACCGAATATATAACAAATATAATTATTACGCCATCTTTTGAACAAAAGAACTATTAAATATGAAATAAATGTTGCAGTATTAGGATTTAGAAAATGAAATTAAAAATTATATTTTTACTTTAATAGGACTTAGTTTTAAAAATAATTTACATATTTTTGGCTTTAGTTTAAGTCGTACCAACTTCTATTCTAGACATATTTTATTAATTCCACGTTAGAATAAAAAGAATATAGACTGACAAAAGAAATTTATTCGCCCAAGTTCTAAACATAATATAAGCATGAAAAAATCGATTTTCATAAAATAACCATTTGCTTGAACTATTAAAGAAATAGAAATAAGTAGGTAAACAATTTTTTAATTTAATTAGCTATTTTTTGTATTTTTTTAGATTTTTTTTTATATAGCTATTTGGTTTTAAAAAGATTTATGTTTTGATTGTTATAATTATTAAGTATACTTTTTTTACCATCCATAAATGTAAATACACTATAAATTAGGTAGCATCATTACCATCAAAAGAACCATTTTAACCATTACTTATATTCCTAATATTGCATTACCATTGTTTAATGAATTTTACGTAAATTTTTGTGATGAAATAAATAGCTATTTGTGTATTAGTAGCGAAAAGTGATACTTTGCCTCTTGAGACAGAAAGTTGGCCTGTCGAAAGCGGTCACGAACTTTTCGCTCCAAATGCATACAAGATTTTTTCTACGATCACATTATTTAAAAAAAAAATAGATATAAAAGCTGAAAATTTGTCGTAAGTAGTGTATAATGTATTGCCTATGTCTAAGTTAATCATGATATTCAAAGTCAATGTTAACTTGGATAAAAGTACAAAAAAACATCAAACTACGTACAAATACTTGAAAATCATTTATTTAAAAGAAAAATGATATCTCATTTATACATTAAGAAAGAATCAAAGCTGTCAAGTTTTCCGTTCGGCTAGCGACGAAGCTGTCACGTCAGTTCGTGGATAACGTCAACTTTGCGGTTGTATTTCGAAGCGCAAAAGCCTACTTTGGATAGTGATCGTAGAAAATTTATTTTACCTTCCTTATAAAGAGATTATTTAAATTATTACCTATCAGCCTATTAGATCATTAAATACCATTCAATTCTTGGATTAACTATCTTAATTTTACTTAAAATTTATACATAAAATTTAAGGGTTAACATTCATATTGTAAGATATATATAATTTAGTGTTAACTATTAATATATATAAAATGCTATAGAAATGTCTTCAAAACGTACAAAATGTTAAAATATTTCGCAATCAATGAAAAACTATTTGGGACGTTCTGTATAGCCAAAATTATTTTGTAGTCATTCCCCTATTTAGGCAATCCGTCTGAAAGGTCCAAGAAAATTAGTAAAGAAAAAACATAGATGTAAGAAAATGTATCTTAAAAATTTGCAAGCTGTACCAAAACAAAACCTTTTTAGAAACCTGCTTCTCATTAAATTCATATTTATTTATTTTTATATCACATAAACACCTTTGGAGATTTTTTGTAGTGTTTTTCCTCTTTCCTCTTTCAGTATGATTATCTTTTGTCTCTCCGCCTCTGTCTGTTGATACTTTCTCACTCTCCTTTATCTGCTTTTAAATTCTCATTCTGCTATCCTACTTTGCTTTTTTCAATTTATTAATAAAATTTATTTAACTTTTTTTTTTTTTCTTAAAAACTTTAATCAATTTCTCAACTTGTAGAAATATAAAATCAAATTATTAAAACTCTAATATAACCCTCTGACTTCTACCAAACTCAATTTTCAATTGGCAGTCAACAAAAAAATCAATAAGCCCATCAAATTCCCATTACATCCTTTTTTAACAAACTTTATATTCTTTTTAATTGCTTTTCTAGACTTCAGACCACCCAGCTTTGCTAAATTCTTTTCTGAGTTTTGACAGTGACAAACTGTAATTCAATTACACAATCTGAAAATTTTCCATATCAATACATATTATATCAAATCTATTTAGAGTAGAGCGAGTTTAAAAATTTCAGAATTAGTAATTACCGAATTTGTGTTTTTATTTCTATTATTTTCAAGATTATATTCACTTGAACATTAAAAATTATTTAAATACCTTTAATCTACTTTTTCATGACATGCAAACATTAAAAAAGAAAAGTATAGGTAGTTAAATTTCAATGACTTTTATTTCAATGAATTTTATTTTCGTTAAAAGTTATTTGTTTTGAAAACAAAATTTAGTCATACTAAATATAATTCTCTTTTCTTGAGGGATCTTTGATTTGGTACATCAAGTGAATTTTTGTTGCATGGATCTCGCCAATCGCATTAAGAATTCAGATATTACGCTTAGAAAATTAGATTGTTATTCTGGCATTATTTTTTTTTGTAAAATAAGGTTAAAATGATATGGGACCAATATAGTCCTTCAATAAAAATGAAACTTACCGAAACGAAAAATGTGAAAACCTTTTTAAATTAATAAAATTTATTTATGTACTTTTTTTATATTAACATTTCCAGAGATAGATGCAATTAAAGTTGTTTTCTTCATTCAAAAAACAATGAAGATTTTTCAAAAGAAAAACAAAATTAGAAGTAGGTAACTGAAACAAAGTATTTAAGAAGAAATGAAAACAAGTGGAAAAAAATTGAATAAAAATTATATAATTAAAAGAATCTTAAAACAAAAAATATTGTAAATCATTAGAATCGTAATCGACAAACAGGTGTATCTCAAAATTACAAGATTTGAGTAATTACTTTTTAAAGATTTTTATTAACTTCAATTAACTTTAAAAGTTGCTTAAAAAATGCTAATAACACAAAATGTTTTGTCAATACCAATATATAACGTATATAAATATATTTCAATTCCGAAAACGATTGTTGATGGACCTAACTCAAATCCAGAAATTTTTGAGATCGCCCTTTCCTCATATGGTGAGTAAAGAAAGTAACACAAATTCGAAACTATAAGTAGGTAATCCTTTTCATTAACTGCAAGTGGTTTAGGTCATATGAGATTATCATAAGACCAACTAACAAAGCAATCCAAAATAATACAATAATTAATAATAACTGTATAATAATGTTTATTTGTATAAAAAAATAAAGTAGGTACAATAACCCATTCAACATAAACGAAACTACAATAAAATAAATACCACGAAATAATGCAAAGTTACTTATGTGATTTAGTTAGTACTGTTACGCAGCACCCTGCAGTAGCCTGCGGCTATTATAGGAAACGTACAGATAGAAAGAGAATTGGAATGTTGCTCAGTAAAAGTACAAGTAAAAGTAGATAGAATAGTCCAGAAATGTCTGGAAATATCATTACCCGTCAAGAATATTCTAGACGACAGTTTGAGAAGGTTCGAGAAGGGTCAAGCAAGCTATATAAGAATGATCCTGACGTTAATTTTCAGTTTTTATGATAGACGTTACATGGTAAATACTAGATCCACTGAGTACGAAGCAGGAATGGATATTTCTGGCCCATCAGAATGGTTTTTGAAGATGGAAGAGGAGAGAGTAAGGTGAGAAGAGGAAAAGTAAAGGCGTAGGAAGGAAGAGGAGGAGGAAAAGAAAAGGCATAGGATGGAAGAAGAGAAGGAAAAGAAAAGGCGTAGGAAGGAAGAAGAGAAGGAAAAGGAAAGGCGTAGGAAGGAGGAAGAAGAGGAAAAGGAAAAGCGTAGGATGGAAGAAGAGGAGGAGAGAGTAAGGCGAAAAGAGGAAAAGGAAAGGCGTAGAGAGAAAAAAAAAGGAGGAAAAAGAAAGGCGCAGGAAGGACGAATAAGACAGCAAGATATTTTAAAAACTAATGTAGAACAACAGCAAGAGCATTTAACTCATTTAGATTAGCAGCAACAGCATTTAAAAACCAATTTAGAACAACAACAGGAAAAGACAAAAGTAGAGTTAGAAAGGCAAATTAGAGCTCAAATGGTAGAGTTAGAAAGAATTAGTAGCCAAGCTTTAGTAAGCAACATTGAAGCTGAAAACACCTCCTCATTTTCATCCATAACCGAACCAAGCTACATTCGAATCTAGCCCAATCGAATTAGTATTTTAGATTCTGAAAAATTCGAAGCAGCAATTTTCCTTCGGAATTCGTTGGAGGGGGTCTCTGGTAGTCTAAATTCAAAAAGTTGGGATTCCAAAGTTCTCGTTACCTCCGCCATCTTGATTTAAAGGGTTATTTTTTGTATCTTGAATAACTCATTTATTTTCAATTTTACACGGAAAATAGTTTTTACAAAAGTTATTTAAAATTAAATTTCCTACAATTCTGCTTTTTTTTGTACGATCAATTTTTTTCGATTTATACTCGAAAAGAGGGGGTGAATTTTTGGTTATAGAATAACTCGTTTATTTTCAATTTTACGAGAAAAATTGTTATAAACAAAGTTGTTTAAAATTAAATTTCCTACAATTCTGCTTTTTTTTGTACGATCGATTTTTTTCGATTTATACCCGAAAAGAGGGGGTGAATTTTTGGTTATAGAATAACTCGTTTATTTTCAATTTTACGAGAAAAATTGTTATAAACAAAGTTGTTTAAAATTAAATTTCCTACAATTCGGTTTTTTTTTTGTACGATCGATT